GTGTGAGACTATTACCATACTGGAATGTGGAATTTGGGATAATGTGAAACTCTCCCCAGACCACGCCATTCATATTTGTCTCCAGAATAAACTATCCCTTATCCCCTTTGATGTTTGAGTTGTATTTTCGTGTTGAAACTTTTTTTTTTAAGTGGAATTGATATGGACTGGTTCTCTGTGTGGTCTCCTTAGTAGAGGCAGGCCCCAGGCAAAGCGATCTTCTGCCTTTGCTTTCTTTAGATGAATTTATCTGAGGCTGGAATAAACCCTTGGCTGTCTCTCAAGCACCATGACCTATAATAGCTGCTTCTTTGAGATGGAATAGTCTCCGGCTCGTGAACAAAATAAAGAGCCAACTGGAAATGGTGGACAAACCTGTAAGTTCAGCCCTCTGAAGGCAGACACAGGAGGATACAGAGTTTAAGGCCAGCCTGGGTTGTATACTGGGTTCAAGTCCAGCCTAGGTCTCAAAGCTTGGTCATGTCTAAAAAACGAAAGATCTCCTTTCAAAAGGGAAATATTTACTATTTTGTACTCAGCAACCTACCTCTTGTTTTAGGATGCTATAACCACCTTACGTATGTGGTTACTTTTCCTTTTACCTTTGATGAGTGAGTAAGCACGAAGCTTTACTTTTCTTTCTCAGCCTAGATGTTTGTAGACTAAGATGGTTTATTTTATATTAAATGGAAATTAAGAATATAAAACATACCCAATTATTGTTTCCTATATAATTCTGCGAAAAACATCAATAACCTATTTCCCCCAAGAAGAGCTATAATTAGACTATTAAGTTGAAGAGCCTGAGAGATAGTTCAGTGAGTAATTCCACTAGCCACCAAGCCTAGCGACCTGAGTTCAATCTCCAGAACTCAGATGGTGGCATAAGATAAACAACTCCATACGTACACTGTGGTGCACACCCACACATACACACACATGCTAATATTTTAAAACTTGAAAATCGGTTAACATAAGGATGAACACTAAGATAAGATTAGTAAGACATTTAATACACTTTCTATCCAGTGATCGCTCCTCAGTTTTTATTTTAACTAGCAAATTTTACCCTTTTTAGCTCTTGGATTGTTGTTGCTAAAATTACTAAATTAATAGGCAACAAGCTTGAAATAGTGACTTGAGTAGAGGGGGATGACCCCAAATAACAAATGGCTTCTGTGAATGCGATGGCAGAGCCACCGACACGACAGACAGCAACTAAGATTTATTTTCTTTTTCCTTTCTTTCGTTTTTGAGACAGAGTTTCTCTGTGTAACCCTGGCTGCCCTGGAACTCACTCTGTAGACCAGGCTGGCCTTGTACTCCAGAGATCCACCTGCCTCTGCCTCCCAAGTGCTGGGATTAAAGGCGTGTGCCACCACCACCCAGCATGAATTACTTTTTAAAGTTCTTCAGTGTTAAAGGTGTGTAGCCCTGTTCCATGCCTACCGTGTGTAAATTTGATGACTTCACCCAAGGATGTGCAGCAGCTGCTAGTAGCGAAGGAGCGACACCACGTGTTGAGAGCAGAGAATTGCAAGGCTTAAATTCTCGTCTATTTAAGGCTAGCCTCTGTGTTGCTTACAGAACTAAGCAACTTTACGTAATATTTGCATGTCTGCCTCTGAAGGAAAAAAAAAGCTTTCCAGTTTCCCTGGGGAAACATGTACTATACAACATCCTCTGGCTTCTGATTCTTGAGAAAGCTGAGTTCTGACTTCATTTGCAGGCCGGTTCACAAGTGGTGGGAGAAGCTATCAAGCTACTGGGTGACTGGGAGGTGACAGCTTTTCACTGACAGCAGCAGCAGCAGCAGCAGCAGCAGCAGCAGCAGCAGCAGCGCAGAGTGTTGGCATCTTTACACCAGTTTCCAGAATCCCTTTTTCCCACATGTGACGTGAAAAGGCCAAATAGCCACATGTGTATTGAGTTGCTTCGTAGGAAGAGAATTCATAATAAAGAGAAATAAAAATGTCCACCCTGCCTTCTGCCTAAAGGGCAGCACCGTCTCTATCAGCCAACATTGTTTCCCATGCAAAAGGACAAGGACATACAATGAATGCCCCCTGCCTTGCAAGACACAATAGAAATTAGCCCCTGTGGAGAATTCAAATATGATCAAATCTTTCCTTTTACCTGAATTTCATTAGCAAGAACCACTCTTCAGTGCTGAAGTTTCTTTTATACAACTACATCAAATGGCGAGACCTAGCTTCACGAAGGCCATCCATCCATTAGTCATTTATTGTTTTCTCTGGACATAATGTTTATGTCTCACCCAAACGAAGCCCTAATCTCCACTATGGTAGTTAAGATCAATGAAATCACAGGATGCAGTCTCTATGATGGGTTTGGACCTTTAAGGAAGAGACTAGTTACTCTCCCCCTCAATTATGTCATATGAGAATAGAGCAGAACAAGAAGGTAGCCATGTGCCGGCCAGAAAGCCCCTCGGCCCTTATCAGAAACAAAATAGATGTGCACCTTTCTTATGCTAGACATTCTAGATCCCTTGTGAGAAATGAGTATCTGTTGTTTAAGTCATGCATGCTTAACAAGCCATGGCACCAAGACATCCACGTAACATTTTTAGCACAGCCTAACAGTAGCACACATTTGTCTCCTCACCGTTTCTCTAGGACAGGAGTCTGGGCGTGGCTTAAGGATTTTTCCAGATTGTAATTTAAGACTGGGGGAGGTTACTGTTTTATCTGAGCTTCCGGCGGAGATGAGTATGTTGCCAGCCTCACTCCAGTTATTAGAGAAATTCAGTTTCTTGCTATTGTAGCGGGTAGGGTTTCAGCTTCTTTCTGGCTAGCAGTCGGAGGCCATGTCAGCTCCTAGAAGCCATCTACAAGTTCTTTGCAATGTGGGGTTCCAAACATGGTCACTTGTTTTTTTAAAATCACTTATGAAGAAAAAGCAAAATAGATACTAAAGGTCTCTGTAAAATATCAATCACACAGCCGCTTATTTCCCACCATGGCCTGCGGAGTCTTTTGGTTAAAGTAAGTCCTAACACTAAAGGTGTAGGTATGACCCAGGACACTGAGGCCTGCCAAACTCAAACCCATGGGCACCCAGCCCAGGACAGTTATGAAGGCAACCCAATATGAACTTGCTTAAACCATTACATTTTTAAAAAGTTTTTTTATTAGTATTGTGTGTGTGATTTGGGGGAGGCGCTTGCTGTGGCCAGCATGTGGAGGCCAGAGGACAACTTTGGGGAGTTGGTCCTCTCTGTCTACCTTTACATGAATTCTGGGGATCAGACTCAGATTGCCGGGCCTGGATTGTCCCTGGTAGCCAGCACCTTTGCCTGCAGAGGAACCAACATTAAGACTATCTTTTGTGTGTGTGATTTTTAAAAAAACCTCAATTGTGAGTGGCTAAAGTGTGATCTTTATAGAGAGAAATGACAACGCCGGGTTGCAATGTCACAAGGCTGGACACGCCGACCAGAGCATGAACACCAAGGGGTGACCTGGGAGTCACCTTAGGAGTTTACCACAGGTTGGTTAGTTATTCGAAGATAAACGTAAGACGCAAACTGTGTGGAATAGATCTAAAAATGGAGAGAAGTGTTGAATTATTACCTTAAGTTCCTGGCCTGCGAAAATTCCCTGATTTCTATAGTTATGAGTCCATGAACCAAAATTCAGGGGAAAAAAATTCAACAAGTTTCCAAAATATGTTCCAAAGTGAAATATTATTTTAAAAGCGGTAAAGTTCGAGCTAATTAGAATATCAGATATATGGAAATGTATGCAACCATAGCAGTAACACGAAAAACAGTAAAGCATTATGGCTCCACATATGTATCACAGAGCTATGGCTGTCTTGGGTGGGATTAAACACCTGTACTAACATGCCCTGCTCATTTCTCTGATTTTGGTGCATAAGAAAAAGAATCTAGCATTGATTTTTATCTTTATCATCATAGTTCAGGAGAACCAAGTTGGTTTAAGAATGTTTTTTTTAAACTACAAAATGCTAGAAACTCACTGCTCTAGAACAAAATGAGGGCTTAAAAAAATCTTTAGTGGGATGAACCAAGAATAAATAACATCTTTGAGTCAGCCATGTAAATTTGAATATGTACTATATGCTTGAACAAAATAATTAGTATTAACTTTGTTAGTTATGATGGTAGCAATTTTTTTTTAATCTATAGCTTGTGCTAAAGTGTATCTCAGTAGGGGAGCGCTTGTAGCGTGTGTGAGACCCTAAATTTAGTTTGCCACCAATAATGAATGAGCAAACAACGTCATTAATTCGAGATGCTGGTTACTTTTAAAGTAAAGTGATAAATGAATGAAATTTCTTTTAAAAAGAAGAATGTGTCGTGGGCAAAAGGTTCTGAGTAGTCTCGAAAACTGACCCAATTTTTGCTTAGCAGAGCCTACTACGCATGCGCCGAATTGTCCGCATCTGCTCTAACGAAGAACAGCAGCCTGGAGACAGATTTCCAATCACTGATGTTCTAGTTCACTCTGAAGCTGATATGATCTTGGTTACTGCCCCAAGGCATTTAGGAGCTTAGATTCCCTCGAAAAGGGGCTTTCAGAAAAGAAAGTACCCTTCTTCTAGAAGGTTACCAGACCTCCCAGGGATCTCCAAAAGAGACTGATGCAAGGGCTGTTACTAGCAAATGGCTCTTGGTTTTCTAGAGTAGCCCTTTCCCCAGCTTGTGCTCTAAACCCTAGTTGGACCGGAGCGAGGTCGTCCGCCCCCTAGCTCTTCTTCCTAGCCCCACCTCCGTCTACATCAGCGTTTCCTTTCTCTTGCCTCCTTCCTTCCTTCCTTTCAGTTCCCAACTCCTCAGGGCGCTCCATATCCTGCTTCTTCATCCTGCCAGGTTTGCCCACAGTGCATCCTCCAAATCTACTTTGTCACTCCGTCCTGCTTCTTTAAATTGCCCATCTAGGTCCCTCCCCGCTCCCACCCCTCCCTGCCCTGCCGTCCCGCCTTCTGAAACTCGCCCCGCCCCTTACCTCGCGTGTGCATCTGAGGTTGCCATAGCTACGGTGTACCCAGCTACCAAGCCTCCCATAGCTGGTGTTTTGCTGGTCGGACGAAAGAGGCAGTACCATGAGCCATACAGTGACCATCCAGGAGCCCAGCACCAAGCTTCAGAGGTTTCCGTACCGGTGCCAGCGGTTGGGGCCCAAGGGCAGCGCCAGTCGAGTGTACGATTTCCTGTACGGTAAGCGCTGTCCACTCCTCCCAGGAGCTAATGTTACCTGGTAGGGGTGTAGCTTGCTAAAAATAAAATAAAATAAAATAAAATAAAATAAAATAAAATAAAAATAAATAAGATAGCTCCAGGACCAGTCCTCGGCCCCCAGACCGCATAGTTAGGAGTAGCAGGTCCCTGCACGCAGGTGGCCGCGCGCGGTAGCGCTTCGGAAGCCACAGGTACGCTCAGCTTCTCCAAACAGCAGGCGGGGTCTTTTTCTCCTGATAACTGATTTTCCTGAAGCCTAGTCCGAAGTTTTGGGTACACATTTAGGAAAGTGTGGAATGACTTGCAGAGCTGCAGATTCACGCAACGTGCCCGCATTCAACCTGCATAAAACATCCAGCGAAGATAATCTTGCTGCCCTCAGGCTCCAGACAACTCCAAATTCGGTGTTCTGGGTAAAGCGGTGCCAGTTTCTCTCGCGTTTGTTTTCAGAGGGCCTTTTGTTTTCCTTCAACCTTCTTGTCTGCCGAAACATTGTTAATAGACTTGGTGCACTGATTCCCCGAGGGCTAATTAAACTCCAGTTTACGTTAATGTCCCGATTTTCCATGCGTGGTTTGTTTCTCCGGACCTTAATTTCCGGTCCATTCATGTTTGTAGTCTTCTTGGACCTATTCCAGCGCACAATGTTAGGTGTGTAAGTGTTAACTAAATTATTGGATTTGCTGCTGCAACCACCGCAACAGCTTACGGGTGATGCCTCCTTTTTCGGATTTTGCCCACGGTAGAACCAAGCTGTCACCTGAACCCAAAACTATTTTCAACTATGTCCCTTTGGGTTCACATGAGACATCGATAAGACCCATCTTCCTTGGCTTGGGCCGTGTAATGACAGCTCACATGTTCTGCCCAATGGTCTACTTTGTTACTCTTGGTTTCTTCTTAGGAAATAAATCTTATAAATATTTGGCCAGGGTATTTGTTCCCCTAGAGAAAAATCTACTTGGGAAGTCAAATGTCTCTCCAAAAGCTGCTTATGAATTTAGTGTCATGTTGGTTGATTTTTTTTTTTAAAAAAAAAAGAGTTTTATACCTTTCTACCGTATTGTAGGTGTATGAGTGTTTACCTGCATGTATTATTACACCCCTCTGTACCTGGTGCCCTTGGAGGTCAGAAAAGGGCATCAGATCCCCTGGAACTAAGTTCCAGATGGTTGTGAGTCACCTTGCAGGTGCTAGGAATGGAAGCCAAGCCTTCTGCTAGACTCTAGACTTGCATCTAGACTAGCAAGAGTGCTCTTAATAGTTGAGCCATCTCCCCAGCCTCATGTGGCTCGATCGTAATAGATAATCCACTCAGTCACCAGTACCCTTCCTCACTAAAGGTATGCCCAGTGAGCAGGTACTTACAGGAACAGGTCAATTAGTTGCTGACCTTTGGAGAGATAACTCCTAATGACATTCTGATATACGCATAGATGAGTGTCTTGCTCAGCCTTCATCAGAGAAGCTTCTTCCTGCAGTAAATGGGAACAGACACAGAGACCCACAACTAGACAATACCCAGAGAGAAAGAGACCTCGGAACACCCAGTCCTTAATGGGATGAATACATCAAATCCCTATCCTCAGGGAACCCCACAAATGAGGAGGTGGAAAGACTGTAAAAGCCAGAGGGCATGGCGGCCATCAAGGATGCCAAGCCTTGTAGACACAGCAGGACTGATACTCACATGAATTCACAGAGCCCGTGGTAGCATGCACAGGCCGGCATGGGTCCAAGCCAGAGGGGGTGCCAGTGCTGAGAGTGAGATGGACACAAGCCCCCCTCCCTAACCCAGCAGCCATCTCCAGCTGATAACTTCTCACAAAGCAAAACTTAGTTCTCTCCGACAGAGTCTCACTGGGTAAACAAATCACTCTTAAGGCCAGGTCTTGTGCCCAGCCGTAGATGCCAACACGAAACAAATACGATGGCATTTCTGAAGACTCTTTGTCCCATAATGCTTTGTTAGGGACTTTGTTTCCTCTGATTATCTTCTGCATATATAACATGGCTTCCGCTTTTTTTTAATGGAATTTCTGTGTGAGCAAGTGTGTGTGTGTGTGTGTGTGTGTGTGTATGTGTGTGTGTGTGTGTCTGTTTATGTTTCTTGTGCTTTTCCTTTGGTTTTCTTCTTCTCTTTGCTTTGTCTTATTCCTATTTGTTTGTTTTTATTTTATCTTATTTTACCTTGTTATTATTTTTTAGATGCCTGTTTGTTTTCTAAAGAGAGAGAAAGAAAGGGTGTGGATTTGGGGGGAGGGGGGAGGATCTGGAGGAGTTTGGAGGAGTTTGGAGAGGGAAAACCAGAATCAGAATATATTGTATGAAAAAAAATATCTTCAATTAAAAATAGAATACATAAATAAAGACGAGAGAGAGAAGGGGGAGAAAGTTGCATTCTTTGCCCAAGATTCTCCCTGGAGGTGTAAACATACTTAATCTTTACGTCACTCTGCTGCTTTACAGACCCGTTATTCATTGTGTCGAGTGAGCGAGATCATGCACAAGCGAATATCCAAGCCACCCTGGTTCGAAGCAGACTGGTAAGTCTAACTTATCTACTAGCACAACCTAATTAATAGGAATCACCAGGCTTGGATACTGCACTAATCAGAGCAATTAATCCGGATTGGGGGTACTGTAGGAATTACTGCACCATGATTTCAGGGGCCAAGCTTGTAAGGACACGTAGCTCATTGCAGGGGTTAAGTAAGAGCGAACAAAGAACTCATAAACTGGTCTGGAGAGATGGCTCAGAGGTTAATGGTGCTTGCTGCTCTTGCAAAAAAAGGGGAGTTCAGTTTCCAACAACCAGGTGCAGTGACTCACAACCACCTGTAGCTGAGTTGCCTGTCACTGCAGTTCTGTGGGATTGGATGACCTCTTCTGGCCTCTGTGGGCACCTGGGTTCATGTACACACGCACGCACACACACACACGCGCGCACACACACACACACACACACACACACACACAGGAACCCATAAGCTAAGTCAATGGAAAGTATGTGTGTGCCTGGGCTAGAAAATTTAAGTAGTAGTAAAGTATGTACAGCACAGAATAATACAGTCCTAGCCCCTGTCACATAAATATGGGGGCCAGCCTCTTGAGCATCCTCTCAAAGACAGTCTGTGCATGCACTAGTCACTCCTCCTCTGGTGCTCGATACGTCGTTTTGTGCTTTTGAAAAAAACTTACAACATGATTAAGTTGTATTAGAAAATCTGACCATGTAATTTTGACCTTTTCCTGTCTGCCTCACTTTCCCAACATTAGAGAAAAGTTCCCCACTTTAGGTCCATGTTCAGTAACCTGTTTCATCATCCACGATATTCTATATACTGGAACAAGTCAGATCCTGTCCCATCGTGTGTCAGTCGAGAATGGAGGGGACAGGAAGCCAGACATAAAGAAGCCCTTCGACTCCGCGCTGCGTAAGTATCAGGGGGTCCTGCTCCAAAAATATATGCATGTTTTTAATGAATATATTGATTTTTTTAAAAATTGTAATTATTTCGCATGATTTGAAAACTTATAGCTGTGATGTAAATCCCTCTTTGTAAAATAAAACTGATTAAGAAAAAAGCCATACATTTTATACATATATAGGTTATATTTATTAGCCATATATTAATATATATGAAATTTATAATTATTTGCAAAATACGTAAATATATTAAATAAGTTCTAAAACACATATGTTTATATATAATAAATATGATAGTATATTAGCCATATATGTGATCATTCTTTTATATATTTACATATATGTTTACACATAAATTAAACCATGGTTATATATGGTTAAAAGTTCTCAGAAGGTTAACATACATATATAAATATTTATGTTAAAGGACAGCTCACCACCAAAGCCAGGGATGATCCAGTCTGTTGTTCCTTTGGTTCACCTTAGAAATTGTAAGTGATCTTTTCGAGGCTGGAGAGATAGCTTAGCAGTTAAGATCACTGACTGTTCTTCCAGAGGACCTGGGTTCAATTCCCAGCACCAATATGGCAGCTTGCAACTGTCTGTAACACCAAGATCAGACAAACATGCAGACAAAACACCAATACACATAAAAAATAAAAATAAAAAAGTGATCTTTTCTTCTGGAACTTAAACTATGGTGTTTTTTGATTTTTTTATTTTTGATTTTGTACTTACAAGTAAATCACCTTCAAAAATAAATCTATTAAAATCTTAATTATTTAAATGACTTGCAAGTAAGTCATGGTAAGTTAATATAAATAATAATGTAGCCCAGACAGGGCATGAAATTAGTCTTTGAAATTTTTCTATTTTTATTAAAAAATGGCATTTTTTGTATTGGGGATTTTATAAACATATTCATTTCTCAACTCTTGACTTTTCCTCTTACCAGATCCGCTAAGCTCAGCTCGGAAACACGACACGTAGAGAGGATGGCTTGAATGTATTTCTCTGCTTCATTTTAGGTTGGATGCTTCCTTCCAGATGCCCAAGGAAGAGTACGAAGATCCGGAAATTTCTGGAAGGAATCGCTATAAATTCTTTGACAGGTAGAGAGTGAAGAGTAATACATGTTGGAGCCTGAGGCTGTGAGGAGCCTCTTTATGGTGGCAGCAGCAGTTGTCAGCCCTAGGGGGGTGCAGCACGCCAGCCCTCATGCTCAGTTCTTTGCTTGGATGTTACCTAATCTTCACAGCAGTGTAACATGAGGGGGCCGGCTTGTTGGGGTTTCCGTCCCGCTCGGTACCCCACAGCCGGCAAATTCCAAAGAGAACTCACACACAGGACTCCATAAGGTTATAAACTGATTGGCCCATTAGGTCAGGCTTCTTGTTAACTCTTAAAACTTATGTTACCTCATTATCCTTATCTACGTTAGCACATGGCTAAGTACCTTTTTCAGCAGGGCAGCTTACATCTTTCCTCTCTGGTGGTCTGGGCAGGAGTGGCAGAGGGAGTTTTCTCCTCCTAGCCTTATCCTATTCTCATTGCCCCGCCTCTACTTCCTGTCTGGTTGACCCGCCTATACTTCCTGCCTGGCCAATCAGTGTTTTATTAAAATACATGATTGACAGAATATAGACAATTCTCCCACACCACAGCAGACATATGAGAGGGCAGATGAGGTACCCATGGCAACGAAGGATGGATAGTTGATAGCAAAACGTTGTCATCAAATGCAGTCAAATATAACACATATCTTGAAATCACTGGATAGGAGAAATTACTAAAAGCGTCCAATCGACAATACTTGTGAATGTTGCTCAAACCCAATCAAAAGATTTTATTTCATTGATGATTGCTACTCCTGTGATGATCGTATACTCAAGGCAGACCTACTTAGATGAGGATATCCCTGCCAATTGTGGGTTGGAAGATAATCTTGATACCACATCTGAATAAGCTTCCTTTTAAAGGAAGTTTTTGAAGGACTTTCTGATCTACTTTATCACACACACATTTCCTCATACAGATGTTTTAAAAGAGAAATTTAATTTCTTAACTATAATAAATGCAAGTTCTTAGGCTCTCGGCAGGAGGGGAAGCTTCAAATGAAGGCCTTGGTTATCTCAGAAGGTCTTAAGAACTTGAGGAATTGCTGGAGACTGACAGGTACCCGAAGCCCGAGTGCAGATATTCTCCTGAGAGCGTGGTTGCCTAGAAGCGGCCAGCGTGCACAGTGAGGATGCAGAGTAACCACCTGCGCCAGATCCTGGCTGGATCTCCTGGGCCAGAGCTGGGAATTTGCATTTTAAATAAGAACATCTCCAGTGGTTTTGTATACACAAAACTTTGAATATTACTCATTTTTTTAGTTTATTCAAACCAATTTTTTTATTTAAGGAAGAAATATTTAAGTAAGAAGAAAGGTTGTGGGGCTGGAGAGATGGCTCAGCGGTTTAGAGCATTGCCTGCTCTTCCAAAGGTCCTGAGTTCAATTCCCAGCAACCACATGGTGGCTCACAACCATCTATAATGAGGTCTGGTGCCCTCTTCTGGCCTGCAGGCACACATGTGGACAGAATATTGTATACATTATAAATAAATAAATATATTAAAAAAAGAAGAAGAAGAAGAAAGGTTTGCCGGTACGAAAATCTCACACGTGTTTTCCTGTTCCTCTCAGGCCCTTCCTTCCATTTCTTCAACAGATGCCGCTCAATGTTGTCTTAGCACCGTCCAAGTAAGTGACTTTATTTCATAAGTCTCTCAAGTCATCATTTCATTTTTACTTCAGGAAGGCAGTTCTCAAGACCAGTGCTCTGCAGCCTATAAACCATCGACCACCATAGTCAGGAGCCTACCTGATCCCTCTGGTGATTTTCTGTGTGCCAAGATCTAATAGTGTTTTCTAGAATATTAAAGCTTAATAATTTTTCTAGTGGGTCAAAGTGTCAGACATATGTTGCTATTTTATATACACTTTGTTTAATAAAGATGAATGGCCATGTTTATATGGATACAATGGTTATGACATGCAATATATTTCTGATAATGAGTTATGTGTGCTACAAATTGTCATAGACTGAGGACTGAGTGATTTATAAGTAATAGAAATTTATTTCTTATCATTCTGGAGGCTAGGAAGTCTGAGAGCAAAGCACCAACATTGAGTGTCTGCTGAGGGCTCTTGTGCCATGTCCTCATGTAGTGAAAGGGGGAAAGACCATGCTCACACATACGAAGAAGTGGGACCTATGTTGTGACCTCTAGCACCATTATAAGGTTCCAGTCTATCCATGAAGGCTTATCACTTCCCAAGAGTTCCATCTTTGAGTCCCATCAAAAAGGAATTAAGTTTTTCATCTGTAACATGCACACACGCATGCGCAAACACACACACACACACACACACACACACACACACACACACACGTTTTACAAATCTTCTTTTGTTTCCCTGGAATACATACTTTTGGGGTGGCAATCCTTCAGTATTTTATCAGGAAGATGTCATGAAATGTTTTTTGGGGGGTGCTAGGATTTTAAGAGTCCGTGAGCTCCCACTAGCTTGTGTCAGCTGTCTCTGGTTTTCCCCATTATGATCTTGATACCCCTCGCTCATATGCTCTCTCCTCTCTCTCTTCAACTGAACTCCAGGAGCTCAGCCAGTGCTTGTCTGTGGGTCACCGCATCTGCTTCCATCAGTTACTGGATGTAGGTTCTGTGATGACGATTAGGATAGTCGCTAATCTGATTAAAGGGGAAGGCCTGTTCATATACCCTCTCCGCTATTGCTAGGAATCTTAGCTGGGTTCATCTTTGTGGATTCCTGGGAAATTCCCTAGCACCAGATTTCTCCCTAACCCCATAATGGCTCCCTCTATCAAGATATCTCTTTCATTTCTCTTCCTCTCTGTCCCTCCCTCAACTCAGCCATCTTGAATCTTCATGTTCCCATTCCCCATCCCTTCCCTTCTACCCACCTCCCAGTTTACCCAGGCCATCTTAACTATTTTTCCTTCCTGGGACTGTCCATGTCTGTCCCTCTTGATCCCCCTTTTACCAAGTTTTTCTGGAATTGTGGATTATAGCGTCTAATTGCATCTAATATCCACTTATGAGTGAGTACATACCATATTTGTCTTTCTGGGTCTGGGTTACCTCACTCAGGATGTTTTTTTTTTTTCTAATTCTATTTGCCTGCAAATTTTAAGATGTCATTGTTTTTTTTTACTGCTGAGTAATACTACATTATGTAAATGTGCTACGTTTTCTTTATCCGTTCTTTGGTTGATGGGTATCTAGGTTGTTTCCAGATTCTGGCTTTTGTTTGTTTGTTTGTTTTTGTTTTTTGTTTTGTTTGTTTGTTTTTCGAGACAGGGTTTCTCTGTAGCTTTGGAGCCTGTCCTGGAACTAGCTCTTATAGACCAGGCTGGCCTTGAACTCACAGAGATCCGCCTGCCTCTGCCTCCCGAGTGCTGGGATTAAAGGCGTGAGTCACCACCTCCAGGTTCTGGCTATTAACTATGCTGCTATGAACATAGTTGAGCAAATGTCCTTGTGGTATGATTGTGCATCCTTTGGGTATACACCCAAGAGAGATATTTCTGGGTCTTGAGGCAGGTTAATTCCCAAATTTCTGGGAAACCGCCACACTGATTTCTAAAATGCCTGTACAAGTTTGCACTCCCACCAGCGATGGAGCTGTCTCTCTGCAGCATAAGCTGTCATCAGTATTCTGATCTTAGACATTCTGATAGGTGTAAGATGGTATTTCAGAGTCATTTCGATTTGCATTTCCCTGATGGATAAGGATGCTGAGCAATTCCTTAAATGTCTTTCGGCCATTTGAGGTTCTTCTGTTGAGAATTCTGCTTAGATTGTACCCCATTTTTTAATAAAATTATTTGGTACTTTGGTGTCTAGTTTCTTGAGTTTTTTATGTATTTTTTGATTCAGGCCTCTGTCAGATGTGGGGTTGGTGAAGATCTTTTCCCATTTTGTAGGATGCCATTTTATTTTATTGACTGTAAACTTTGCCTTACAGAACTTCTCAGTTTCAGGGGTCCCATATTAATTGTGGCTCTCAGGGTCTGTGCAACTGATATTATATTTAGGAAATGGTTTCCTGTGCTAATGCATTCAAAACTACTTCCTACTTTCTCTTCTATGAGGTTCAGTGTGGCTGGATTTATTCAGGTCTTTGATCCACTTGGACTTGAGTTTTGTGCATGGGGATAGATGTGGATCTATTTTCATTCTTCTACATGTCGGCACCCAGTTATGCCAGCACCACTTGTTGAAGATGCTTTCTTTTTTCCATCGTACAGTTTTAGCCTCTTTGTCAAAAATCAGGTCTTCATAGGTGTATGAGTTAGTACCAGGGTCTTCAATTCGATCCCATTGATGCACATGTCTGTTTTAATGCTAATACCAATCCGTTTTTATTACTGCAGCTCTATAGTAGAGCTTGATGTCAGGAATGGTGACACCGCCAGAAGTTCCTTTATTGTGCAGTATTGTTTTGGGCTTTTGCTTTTCCATATGTTCTTATCTGTCCATTTCTCTGTCTACTTATGTGAATGAGTGTGGGCACACTTGTAGCATGCCAGTCTGTGCGTATCAGAGGACAGCTTTTGAGGGTCAGGTCTCTCCTTCTGTCTTGTTGAGCGCGGGTCTCTCTGTGAGTGTGTCCAGGCTATGCAAGGGAAGGTCTCTCTGTGAGTGTGTACAGGCTAGCCAAGGGAGAGTCTCTCTGTGCAGTTTTTTTCAGGATAGCCAAGGGAGGGTCTCTCTGTGCAGTGTGTTCTAGGCTAGCCAAGGGAAGGTCTCTCTGTGAGTGTGTCCAGGCTAGCCAAGGGAAGGTCTCTCTGTGAGTGTGTCCAGGCTAGCCGAGGGAGGGTCTCTCTGTGCAGTGTGTTCTAGGCTAACTGGCCCTTGAGCCCCCTGCTGGTTCTTTCTCTGTCTCTTATCTTCCACTGGGAGTTCTGGGGTTACAGACACATGCCCCTGCAGTGGGCTCCAGCCATCAATCTCAAGTCACCAGGCTTGTTCAGCAAACGCTTTTACCCCCTAAACCACCTCCCTAGCCCCAGTATAAATATTTTCACTTGTGCATTTTTTTTCTTTTTGAAACAACGTCTTGCTATTTAGCCAGACTTGGCCTCCAACTCACCATGTCCCCATCTCCCAGTACTGGATTACAGGTATATGCCCCATACCAGGATACGTTTGCTAGCAAAAGAAAAGAAAAGCACGTTTACTTATTTATCGGGGTGTGTGTTTGTATGTGGGTTGGGAGCACATATATGACACTGGACAACATGCGGGAATCAGTTCTGCCCTTCCATCATTCCAGAGATCAAACTCAGGCCGTCAAACCTGTTGGCAAGCGCCTTTGCCCACTGGGCTATTCCACCGCCCCCTAGTTATACTTTCTGTTGATGCTTTTGCAGTCTCCCTGCAAATGATTTTTGTGGCGGGGATTTGCTAACTCACCCACAGGCTCACTGCGTTATTCCAGCTTTGATTAAAGAGCTATCATCCATGAAGACAAGTGGGTCCTGGTGCTCGCTGCCGTCAGCAAGCATTCTGTCCTCTGCGTCTCTGCAAAGACACAGCTAAGCTGGGCTATAACTGAGATCAGAGATGCAGTAGCGAATGCAGTGATGCGGAGCAGTCCAGACCTGGGGATGCAGCACCCCCACCCCAGAGCCGTCTCTGGCTGTGCAGCACACAGCTGCCTCTGTGAGGAGATCCAGTTGTTTATGTCCACTCACTGCCCTGGTACAAGTGAGAGCAACACGGATGTTCTCTAGGAATTGTAGGGCACACGGGCACACACGTAGTCATGATGGACTCTGTGAGCATTTGAAGGGGGAAGGGTCTTAACGAAGCCCAAAGACTTGTTTTTACCTGGTTCTGTAGTGTTTTAAATGTTCACATTGAGTTTCAACCTTTAATTTTACCCTCCTAGGAGAGAACCATTTGTTTTTTCTCCTGAATCTTCCAAGTATACCGCCATCCCTTCGAAGTCTACTGTGGGCACTCAGACCGACTACCGGGATGCGGATGTGCAAACAGATCCGTACTCTCCAGAATATGTCGTGTGTCAAGACACTATTCCTGAGCTCTTGACCCTGGCTAACCTGACTTGGGGTGAGTTGGTAACTGTCACTGAATATTGGAGACAGCAGTGCAAGCTCCCGAGTTCCTGGGAATGACGCATTTTCAGGCAGTTCTGCTTTTTACAGTGAGGGATAACTCACATGCTGGGCGAAAATATTTGCACATAATATATTAGGCAGGGGTTAGTCTCCGTCTTCAGACTATACAAGGACTGCAAGCTACGCAATGGAAAGCAAACATAACCTTACTTAAAATTGGGCAACGAGCTTGAACAGATATTTCTCAAAAGAAGACAAGTGCCCAGAGATTTATTTGAAAAGGAAGATGAGTCCCAGAATGCAACAGAGAGGTAAGATGACGTGAGTGTGCAATAAGACAGAAAAGAAATGGGATAAGGGTCAGTCAGCAGTCAAAACCCTAATAAGAGTCTGGGACGATGGCTCACTGGTTACTTCAGTGAAAATCAGCTCGGTGGCTGATTTCCAGAGGACCTAGGTTCAACTCCCAGGACCTAGATAATGCCTCACAATCATCTGTACCCTCCGTTTCAGGGAATATGACACCCTCTTCTGGTCTCTGCAAGAAGCCAGGCATGTAAGTGGTGAATAGTCATACATACAAGCAAAACAACACCCACGCACGTAAAATAAAATGTGATCTATTAAAAAAAAAAAAAACAAAACCTGTTAGGAGGCCATTGTGGCAGCGCACGTCATAGATCTCAGAGCTCAGAAGGCAGAGACAGGTGGGCCTCCGTGAGTTCCAGGCTAGCCAGTGTTACTTAGTGAGACCCTGTCTCAAAACAGCATGCTAAGAATTGAACTAAAACAAAATGACCCACAAGAGAGCTAAGCATGAAATCAACATGTGCACAATGACTAGTAACCTTACTACACGGGCAGCATAAACTTAGAAAAGTTATTGGGAAAGATCACAGCCTAATTGACACAGCCTAATAACAAATGAGACTGGGCTTAAGGACAGGCCAAGATTTTATAGAGAAATTAAAAATGGTTCTTTAGGCCTCCAGAGGTGTGAGGAAGGCAGAAACAGACCACGCTTGTGAGTGTGATTTCCTTCCTTCTATCTTCAAGTGATTCTCACTGAAATCCCTACTCCTACTCTAACTGTCCCTGTGTAAGATAGCTATGGTCCTCAAACTCCCCACAGGATCCACCAGCTCCTTTGTGTTTGTGTTTGCAAAGCCTGCAGGGGGCAACTGAGATTGACTATAAACCCTGTGGGAGGGAGAGAGGAAGGGATTGTAATACCCAGCAGGAATACCCGCCCACGGTAGATTTAGCAGTTTCTGGGATTAACACGATCCTATCTTAAATCCTAGCTTTCCGACTGGAGCCTTTCTTGTGAGAATCCTAGAGAAGCTCACACTGGGCCCAGTGAGACCAGAGGAGGGTGTTTGCTGCAGTCATGTGTAGATGTACATATGGAGACACTCTAGGGGTCCTGGATCTCTCTGTGAGTGCAGTGGGGTCCCCACCATGGAGTGGGATAGAGACAAGTTTCAGGATTACACACGGGTAAGGGCTTTTCAGCCTCTGGCTGAGAGCAAGCACAGATAACATGTGAATCCAGCTTGCCTGTGATTGTGAAAACTGTGTGCTGTTTTTAAAGTTGGTTCATTTGTTTCTATGTAGCTCTTTCTGTTTCATCTTTGAATCAAATCTGGTTCCTGGTTTCTGCCTCATGAGGGGCATAGCTGCCGACGCATAAACACACAGTACAGAGCTGCGCTTGTTCCCGACCTCCGCTTCATGCCGCTGGCTTCACCTTTTAGCTCCCGGTTTCTTTATGTGTAAGATAGGAGTCATTATATTTCTATAATAGAGATCTATTGAAGAGTAGATAGATTTGAACAATTCTTGCTATATTGTAAGTGATTAAAGCACACCTTTAACCCCAGAACTAGGGAGACAGAGGCAGGTGGATCACTGTGAGTTCGAGGCCAGCCCAACAGGCCAGGAGAGGGCGCCAGAGCCTCTGGAACTGGACTTAAAGATGGTTTTGAGTCACTATGTGGGTGCCGAGAACTGAGCCTGTGTCCTTCAGAAGACCAGCCATCTCTCCAGCCCCTCTTTGCATTTGAAAACATGGACTTGTCTAGTACAGGACTTTCGAAGGTTTGACCATTCGGCGGTCACTGACCGTTTGGTTCTTCAGTGCTTTCCTTGAACATGTATGCAACCAAAAATTGTTGGTTGTTTTTCACCTCATCTCTTCACACAGCTCCCATATAAATACCGAGTCTTATTGATAGGGAACCTTGTTAGCCAATCATCTTTAAGAGGTGGGTCTTAGTTAAGGCGTGGTAATACGTGGGCACCTCCAGGTGCTCACTCTCTGCTTTCTCTGTGCCTTTTCTCTTGGGACATTGCTGTGCTTGGATTTCTCTTTTCCTGTTTCATGAGTTTTCCCCTTATAATAAGTAAAATGTAATTGTTTTATCCTTAGCTAGCTTGGTTATTTCAGCATCTTACTAGTACTTACAAATAACCGACCTTAGCTTTGCTTGTCACTAGCCAGTTGTTCTTAAATTTATCCTACCTATCTTTCACCTCTGGACTTTTATCTTTCTCTGTTTTATACACCTTTCATTCTTTCTTACTCCATCACTGGTCATGTAGCTGGGTGGCTGGCCCCTTACATCCTCCTCTCCTCCTTTCCCCTTGATCTCTTTCTTGTTCTATTTCTTCTCTCTGCCTGCCAGCCCTGCCTATCCAGCTCTTTGTTAGAGCAATCAGGTGTTTTAGGCAGGCAAAGTAACACAGCGTCACAGAGTTAAACAAATGCAACATGAAAGAATGCACCACATCTTTGCACCATTAAACAAATGTTCCACAGCATAAATAAATGTAACTCATCTTAAAATAAGATTCTATAACAAAATAACTTCTGCCCCAGTAAAAGGAGGCATGAAGGACACAGTTGTAATACACAAGTTTTGAGGCCTCCAGGGAATCTTTCCCAGTGACATCATGATCTAGCCCAACGCTTGAATTTAGAGCAGGGCAGGAGAAGTCTTCCAATGGTGGCTTGTGGGTGTGCCCTGCGTTCCTGAGCTGTGACATTCCCTTGCAGGCCGAGGTCTCCCAGCAGGACAAGCTGAGGTGGAGATGATAGAACGGGCCCGGGAAAAGCGTGCTTGGGAAGCCACTCTGCCCCCGCTGAACGACAGCCTCCAGTTTGAGAAGAGGAGAAAGATGATGAACGCCATGGAGAGGAAGGAGTGGGCCTTCAGAGAGGGAGAGATTGAAAAGTAGGTTCTCTGGCTCCTGGACAGCCACCCTGGGATGGTGAGAGCAGCGCTCACACTTCACCTTCATCACCGTCACCATCATCATCATTATTATTATGGTTTTTAGAGACAAGGTTCAAAGCATACCACTCAGAGTACTCACTCTGTGCACACTGTTCTGAGAACACTCTAGAAACCCATAGTCTTGGGCTCATCCTACTGAATCAGGAGGTCAGAGTCATCAGCCTGCATCGGAGCAAACCTTCCAGGGAGCTCTGTTTCACACTTAAGTTCGAGAACTTTTCCTGCGGTTACTCATTTAACGCCCAAAACAACCTCATGAAAGAGGCACTATTATCTCTATTCTGCCACAGAAGAAATGGAAGTAAAAGCAAAGTGGAGAAGTGACCCTGGTACCACCTAATGCAGTCACTGCCTGATTAACAGAGGGTTGTGTTCTGAGAAGTGGGGTGCTCTTTCTCATCCTGGACAGCTAGAGGTCCCTCAGTGTGGCCCATCGGTGCCATTGGAGATGTGGTGAATATGAGGTATACAGGACTGCCACCAACATAAGTGGCAGTAAATTCCTACAAAAAGCTTTAAAAATAACACAGTATAATAATAATAAAAGCCTGGCACGGAGGTTAATGTCAGTGGCCAACAGGTAGAGGCAGGAGGATCAGGAGTTCAAGACCACTGATGGTGTACTGAGTTTGCCGTCATCCTAGGCTACATGAGGCCCTGTCTCTAAATGCATAAATAAAACAGCAATGAATAAACAGCATAAATCTGTCGGCATACATAGAGAGTTGTAACCATTATCAAGTGCTGCATATTATTGTATGCGCCAAGCTTTTACATGGCTTGCTGCCCAGTGCGTCTGTTTACAGCATCACCGTAAGTGGGAATAGTGTGTTGATCTACGGAGCCTCAGTGGCTCTGCCGTCAGTAGGTGACATGAACTGTTCAGCCTCCTCACAGTGTCACAGGACCGTCACAGTACCTAAGACCCGATTCATTGTGAGCATGTGACTATATATCCTTCACTTCAGGAAGCAGCGGGGCTGTGGGCCTTAATGTTAAAAGCACAGTCCCCAGTAGCATTGACCGCCTAGCTCCATCCTTTCTCACTGTCTGCACTTAGGGAAGATTTGAGACACGTCCTGTCCTCTCTGGTCCCCTACTTTCAGCCCCATCGCCCCCTTGGTCTTTTCTGAGACAGAATTTCTCTATGTAGTCCAGGCTGACTTTGAATTTGTATCCTCCTGTCTCAGCTTTCCACGTGCTGGTTGGTGTGCACATACCAGGTTCCCCAAGGCAGAAACACTGGTTCCTAAACAGCTGAGGGCACAGACGTCGCCACCACGTGCATGTGGTTGGATATGTAAGCAAGGCAGCGCTAGAACACATGAGCTAGGAAAGGGAAAGGGAAGGTTAACAACCAAGTTCCTGCTATGTGTAGGGACCAGTCCTGTCTCAAGATCGCTTACTACCTACCCTGGCTTTCTTCCCTCTTCCTCTTAACTATGATTAGTCTGGTACTGTCCACAAACCTCTTGTTCTCTAGGTTCAGCTGCTTAGAGAACCCACCTCTTGCCCCATCTGTCTGCTCTTCGTTGTCCGGACTGTGTGCATGAACGCGACCCCTACCCCAAGCTCCCACGATATAGAGATCTGCGGCCAGAGTGTCCTCCCCGGGATTTCAGCTCACTTGTCTCGTTTTTTACCACAGTGGTCTTTTTAAACCGCACAAATATGATGCTCATAGGGAGGGCCTTCTGTGGCTCGCCAACAGAACTTCCGGTTTGGGAGAGTAATGCTCTGTAACCCACCCCAAGACTGCAGGACCTGCGGCTGGAGGTTCTGAAGCAGCTGCTGAGGAGGCGCGAGGAGAACCAGAATGAGCAGGACATGAAGCACCTGAACGCCCAGTGGTGGAAGCTGCAGGAGGCGAAGGAGGCCAAAGTGGCACAGATCCAGCACACACATGTGTCAAGTAATTTGTGGCGTGAGCCGGCCAGGGAGGGGACTGGGCTTTGGGGCTTTGATCAAGCCTTCCTGAGCTATGATGGAATTCTGATTTGGTCTTAGTGTATCGCATAGGCAAGGAAGAGAGAGGAGTTACTTAGGAAGGTGGACTTTGGCGGAAAATTGCTAAGAAGGCCAGGTGACCATGTTCTAATAAGTAGTTGAGTTCTTGGCATACACATATATGCCATTATTGGTATTAGGCTCCCCACTCATAGACCAAAGCTCTACTTAGGAAGCCTATTGATGAACTGTTTCATTGTTTGCTTGTTTGTTTGTTTGTTGTTGTTTGGTTGTTTGTTTGTTTTTTTGAAACAGGGTTTCTCAGCAGCTAGGAGCCAGTCCTGGAACTTGCTCTGTAGATCAGGCTGGCCTTGAACTCACAAAGATCCACCTGCCTCTGCCTCCCAGAGTTATGGGATTAAAGGCCTGTGCCAGGCAATTAACTATTTTTTTTTTAATTCTTGCCCCCTAAGATATTTTAGTCTTCTGTTTTCCTAACTGCTTCTCTCTAAGAGATTTTTAATGCCACAGCTAGTGAGGTTAGCTCAAGACAATAAAACAAAAGCTGAGTTCACTAAAAAGGATTTTTAAGTAAGAATTTAATTTCAGTGTCGTCCTCTGGCCTCCGCACCTGCTAGCACGTGCGTGTGCATGCACCACATGAAAGTACAACACACACAAAGAGAAAAACTAAAAACTCAAGTTAAGTCTTTCATTAAAAACTTGAATTATTATCATTTAATTTTGTAGCTTTTTCTACTGAAAAAAAAAAAACCTTTTTAAAGTTGCCTGTAAAATTGCTTTACTGAGGCCATTGAGATTGTTTGTGTGGTAAATGTGTTTGATCCTCAGGACCTAACGGTCGGAAGAGGAGAACTGACTCCTGAAGGCTGTCCTCAACCTTCACACGTGAGCCGTGGTACTTGACAGCCTCCAGCAAACACTCACTTCCACACACACTTAAAATAGAAGGTGATTAACTTTTTAAACAGTGTATTACCTTTTGAGAGTGTTGTCCCTGGTAAATTGCCACACCCCACTGGAGAGCTACACACCCAAGAATATATGAACAGCACAGATGGACTTGATGGATGAAAACACAAACGAACAAAAATAGGACACTAAATTGGGCAATAGGAGAAGGGGGCATGGCTCTGAGAGGACTGAGGAGGGTGAAGGAAAAGGGGCGTGGCTCTGAGAGGACTGAGGAGGGGTGAAGGAAAGGGGGCGTGGCTCTGAGAGGACTGAGGAGGGGTGAAGGAAAGGGGG